AACCTCGTTTGTTTAAATCAGAATTCAGTAAATTGGTCATATATATTTCTCCCAACTATAAAATATCAGGAGAAATAAGAATAAAGTATTTAACAGTTTTGTTCAGTTAGGTGCTGAAACTGATATCAATAGAATCAGCTTATTAGAACAAAGACTTAGGCAATATTAAACATAATTTTAAAATAAATAATTATTCAACAAGGTTGAGCAAGAAAATAATACTTAGAATAACAAAGAAAAGATTGTACTGTGTTACAATTAATTACCTATACGGCTAAACAATATTATATATTATTTAAATAGTTTGTACTAATACAAATATCGATAAAAAGATTTTAATTTGTATTCAATAATGAATCTATGTAATATAATAATACACAGGTACATTCATACACTAGGTAATAAGGTTAGGTATACTCAACTTGAAAATCATCATTGGATATGCTCAAAATTTTTAATTTTAAGTCATAATTACATCAATACATGTAAATGATTACGATTTCCATTGCACGAATAAACTGATGTATGAAGATAGATTAAAGCTATTAAAAGCTAATCGTTTTTTGTACATTTAAATATTAAGCCAATAACATCGAAAGAAAATAAATATACATCCAGAACACTAATGTAAATTTTGAAAAAATATTTGAATATTTTCGTTTCTTGTCTGTGTGTATGTGGGAAATTAATTTTTATTTCACTTTTTTTTAGTAACATTATAATAAAAGTGCAATTTGAAAAAAAAGAACATTTATTTGGTACTATAACGTATACTAATTATTACCTTATTATTACCCATAACCTTTGTTAATGAACCGGTGGATTGGGTAAATATAAATGACAAAATAAAGAAGAAAAATCAGATAGGTCGCTGAAGTGGGTGACTTTAAAAATCTCAAAAAACGTACCTACTTGTTCAGATTGTAGAATTCAGGAATAAAATTATCGAGCTGAATATTATCGAGGGCCGTAGAAATCCGAAAAAATAACACACGCACTGTATTATTGTGGACCGTATACTCCAGGAATCCAAATTGTAATTGGCACTAACGTCACCAAGCAGTGTGATTAGTGATTACTACAACTATAAAATAGAGTTTAAAGTCTAGTGGTTTTCAAAATATAGGAAATTTAATATGTTTATTGAGAAAAATAATTCAAATGTTACGATTTAAACTTATACATTTCTATTTATCAAACTCGATCAACTATACTTGTTTGAATTTAGTTTTCAATGATACTGTCTCACTTCGCTCACCTCAGTGCAGGATAGTGGTGTGTTGTAACATTAACTTTGAAATTAATGATAAATCAATTACCTACCTAACAACAACTGTCTTTGAAACAAATTTCAGATTCTCTGCGAAAGAGTCCAGATGAGATCAGTTTCTATTTACAAGAATAGTTTATACCTAATTGACTGTGTTTGGAAATAACGTCGTTCATAAACGCACTTCATACGTTTAAGTTCATATTTAATGAACGATACCCGAACGTCACTTTATTTTTTCTTCAAATTGAACGTGAACGTAAACGAAGTTTATATTTTTATGAATTTGAACGATTTTTAAGAAGCTTATTTATTAACCATTTAATAAACGTATGTTTAAAATATATTGATTAATTATATCATATAATAATATTTTCTCATTATAATTACTTTATAAAAAAATTAAATGAACGACCCATTGGACGCATTTATTTTTTCAATGAACTTGAACGTGAACTAGTTCCTATTTTTAGTGAATGTTGTTGTGAACATTGATTATGAGTATTAATATAAATAAATTAGGTTCGAGACAAGTTCAACAAATATTTAGTTATTATTTATTTTCATATTACAATACTACAATAATATAATAAACACACAAAATATGTACGATTTTTTATATTTTAATACTTCAATAAATATGTTATTTGTGTAATTGAGATAACGAAAAACGATCAAGTTTTCACATTATTTTATACTACACTGTGCACTGTAGAACATATTTTAGAAGTCTTCGAATATTTTATACCAACAGCTATCCAGAGTAATATACGCTGTTCAGCTGTTTAGTGTAATAGTAGTTTCAAGTGGATTATTACAATATAGTTTGAGATAACAAAAAATTCAAGATTGGGACGTACCGTGGGCGTCATCGACCAAATATCGGCTGTCAGAAATCGCAGTCTGCTGCAGCTGCAGTCGAGTGGAAGAGACCTTCAGTTTCTTCCAGCAATGACGACAACTACGTGTTTACGAGTTGGTGACTCGACCGTATATCTCGTTTTGTTGCCTGCCTAGTGACTAGTACTGAAAGTGACTGAATTAGCTTCTACAAGCATTTTATTCACTGGACCGAGTGGGCGAGTGCCGAGTACCAGGTGATGCAGGGATCTAAGCAACAGCCAGACTATTCTACGAAAACAATTTAATGAAAGAAAAATGTTTACGTGCTAGGTTTATGAATTTACGATGTAACCAATATTTTATGTTTTTTTAAGGACTGTGGTATAGATTAGTGTCTGCATGGTTGTACAGGGGACCAACACTTTTGCGGATTTCCACTTTACCGCCTGTTGGACGGAATAAGGTCGCTTTCCAACACTTCAACAGTAATCAAAAACCAAACTTTCGATGTAGACGAGACATGACAAAAAATACTTAAATTCAAACGCTTATAAAAAGTTAATGCTTCTATGAATTATCAACTGAAAAATAATAAACAAATTATAGCTTTTTTACTGAATTTTGATGTGTATTTACACTACTGAATAATGACAATTAACAACTTTTGTGCACTTTTTATTATAATTTCAAGTTTTCTGATCGAGCAAAAAGTGAAAAATATTGAAAAATATTCATGGATATAAATAGCTTAAATACACTAGGTATCTTAAAAGAAAAGATAGAAAATTAGTCCATTTGTACTGCCCTAGAAATAGACGATAGACAGAAAAAAAAATATCATTGCAAAATCAATACAATAATTTACTACGTTCAAAATCTAAATTTGAAAATGTGAATAAATAGCAAAAAATATCAAAATATTTTGAAACATAACACAATCTATTTATTGTGTACCGACATAAATATGATTTAATATTTTTTAAATAATAGAATGCATATGTAAAACTTTATCCATGAATTTTTTTTTGATTTTGATTCATTTTTTTTGTGCTTATGTACACGTTAATTAGTCAAAATAATGCTTCGATTTTCAACCTCGAGAGAATAAAATTCTCAGTAGTTTGAGAAGTGAAGGGTAAAACAAAAAAAGACTACTGAAAAGTCAAATTATGTTTTGATGAGAGTTTAGAATTCAAATTGTTACATACATTAGATAATCCTTCGATTTCTCATAGAACGATTTTCTTATTTTATTGCATTTCTAAAACGTTTAACCGTAAAATGTTTATTTTATAACTTTCCATACATTATAATACAATTTTCAAATATTTTGACTCGTTTTGAATAATACATTTTGATAAAATTATTTTCCTTTAGTCGAAAAGCTTGAAATTTAATTCAATACTCATACGTTGTTACAATACCAGTTTGAAAATATTAAAAATACATAAGCATGATTTTGTATTATAATCATCTAAAGTTAAAATAAAATGTAAAGTAAAATGTTCAAATTTTAAACTAAGGATTGAAAATTTAAGTTTCTCATTAGTATTCCGTACTACTACTTTCGACAAAAATTAATTTAAACTGCTGTGGTACTAAATACTAATGCCTCTTAATTTTTCTACCTTAAACAAAAAAAAAGTTTACTAATTGAACAACTAATATTTTATGAGCGTTTGAAATTAAAATTTTTTTGCATTTTATGTTTACGAGATTTCTTATCAAATGATATTCTCATTTTGTTACAATTCAAAAACAAATAATCGTTAATACATTAAATTTTCACCGAATGTATAATAAGCATTTTATACACACAGTATACTTTTAAAATATTGAAAATGCATTTTTTACGAGCATTTATAGCTCAAATTTTTAAATAAATCATCAAAACCACCAACATTTTCCAATTATTTTGTAGTAAAAAGTTGATCAAATGTTCAAACACCCTAAAGCTTATAGCTAAAGGTTGAAAGTTTAAAATGTGGTTTCTTATAAGTATTTAATATTGTAACCGAAAAATCTAAAAATTATATAAACACATTCATTTTAATAATATTTTAATTTGAAATTTGGACGTAATTAGATAGTAATAATAGGATTTCATCTATTTTTTGATTTCATAAATAAATAATTTTTATATTTTTACATTTTTAAAATTATAATTTAAATTCAAAATAATAAATTTTCATAAGTTTACATGTCCTATAAGTGATATGCGGATATGCCCATATAATAATAATTGTAACAATTGCTAAAAGTTAATTATTTATAAAACAAAATAATAATAATTTGAATAACCAAATAGAATAATAGTTTACAAGTCAAAATAATTAACAATCATAGTTATAGCAAATAATGATAACATAATTTCCTTTAAATTAATAATGATATGTTCTTTATTAAGATATGTATTAAACAAGTTATCTATTATTTTAATAGTGAATATACTCGTTTAGCATATATTAATTGATAATTTGTTTAATTCCCTTCAGTAGCATTTTAAAAAAGGTACCTCACTTACAAACCTACCTCATAACTCATAAGTCATACCTAAGTCATAATCATATTTGTTTTAACAATTTTACAAAATTACCCCTTATAAATGCAGAAAATGCAACTTAATATAACTGACATCAATCATTTTCTTATCAGTGTTGTACTGTTATATGAACTTCTTACGTCGTTCTTCTTCGCAAGCATGCTGTCAGTCCGCAGTACTTTTCTTACTAAGTCTGTGTCACAAAGAAAGGTGCTGCATCAAAAAATTTGTATTAATTTAATATATATTATTTGAAAGGACAGAAAACAGAACAGACGAGAAAATAATATCGGTTATCAAAAAATAATAATATTATCACTTTTATTATCAGAATTTTCAAATATTAAGACGAAATATTGTCTACGGTCTACAGCCTACAAGTAACAGGCGCTTTAGATCATATCATAATATTGTTAGTCTAAGTTAAGTGTATGAAGTACAATATGATCTAAGCATCGTAATAATATTCGTATTATAAGTAATTTTTAATACTGTTTTAATTGAAGTTTAATACCCAATGACCGATGTTTTTTTAAGTTTTAAATTATATGTTCGTAATAATATGGTGAATGACCATTTGGTAATTTACATAATACTATGACAATTTATTCATTTTAAATATTATACTAGATTTTTACTTGATGAAGAACTGTTAACGTAGCCGCGTGGTACTGTATCGCTGAAAAAATTCAAAATGTTTTTCTGGTTGCTACTTGCTAGGCGACGTCGTCGTTACTCGAAATCTGTTAGAAATAAACGGTGACGAAAAAAAAATGTACACATAGCAAAAACATTATCCATGTTACAATAGAGTGGATTGTGTTTATTTCTCAGAGAACCATTGAATTCCTATTCAAGAATAATGGTTGTTTCGTTTATGGTATTTCGATTAATTACCTATTACATTATGATTTTAATTTAGTTTTTATTTATAATAGACTATTTTTTCAGATGATACCAATCCTGACATACGTGACAAATCAATTGAAGTGACTATTATTATCCAATGTGCACAATAAATCCAAAACATTTAAGGTATAATTTATGCAGTACCTAAAGGTTTGATTTATGTTTATCTTTAATTTACTTTATTTGAAAATCATTTCATTATATTTGATTTAAGAGGACGCTACACCTGCTTGTGTTGTTTCCATCTAAATAATCATGCTTATGTCTTGCAAATGTTATAGTTAACAAAAACTGTTTTGTGCTAGAAAGAAACAAGAAGGTTACAGTTATAACTAAGAAATAACATTTTCAGCACATACTAAGAACTTTGGCTATGAAATATTTTTTCGGTATTGGAACCATAAAAAAGTTATTCAAGTTAAAAAAAAACACAAAATGAATAGATTTTGAATCAATAAGAACTTTTTTTGTATAAGTGATATAAAAAAAATAAAAACTATTTCACAAATAATGTTCTCAACTATATTGTATACCAATTTACTCTTAACTATTGCTACAGCCTGAGTGGTTCTATCCCCCTCAAAACAGTTTTTGCCATGTTGTACATTTGCTAGAGACAACAGCGGGTATAGCGTTCTCTTAATTAACAGTATATATTACCACTGTCACACAGATTATGTACATAATTTATTAGGTAATGTTTATATGTTTATAGACATATAATGAATACCATGCATATTGGTCTACAATTTGTTTACTATTTATTGATGTTTTAATTATGTTTCATTTATTTAAGAGGAACTGTAAGAGTAAAATTGAATTCTTTAATTTGATTTATTGAGCACTAGCTAAAAATAGACATTTTTTATAATTAAAGCTGAATTATCTAAAATTGTAAATTAAATATCTTAACTTTGAGATTAAATTGGTATGCTAACATTTAGAGAAGAGAATACAAAGGCACTGTTGAGAGAGTAGATTACAAATAGAAAATTTGAAAAAATATTATAAATTTTGAACCAATGTTTATTTGTGTCTAAATAGTAATGATATCCTAAATAAGTGTTTATAATACATATATCATATTATATGTTGGTTTATAAGATAAAACTCTTTAAAATATAGAAAATCTGAAAATGTTGATGTACATCAATGGTCCTTATAATTATACCAACATTTTTGAAAATGTTTATAAATTTCATTGTTCAGCTTAGGATTTGTAATACATTATCATAGAATAAAATAGAAAAATTAAACACCAATCATAAAAATGATTTTAAATTGATGATTCAAATTGTTGAGTTATTAATATATGTGTAAAAATAAAAGCTACCCTAATTTATATATTTTTGTACATAATTTACTATTATTGTATTTGTATGTTTTATGTTTATAGATGGATGGTTGCAATTTGATTGTGAAGATTTTTGTGTTCATATTGAAGACCATAGAAGAAGACAAATAATTTTTGTACCTAACATATTATTTTTATATTGATTGTATCATTCGTATCAAATTTAATACTTGATATTTGCTCCTTTTTAAAGCTTATAGGAAACAATATTAAGTTTGATTGGTCACTAACTATTTTGAACTGATTAAATGGGCCTGCAGCAACCATTCTATATAGATGAAATATAAATACAAATAAATTAAATTGGTTGACTGATACTGTTTTTCCCATAACACAATTTATAACTAAATATGTATATTCAATTCTGGAACATACAAAAGTTTTTACACAAAATATGAACTACTGTAATATAACATGTCTATTTTTGTTTTAATTGTAGCCGTTAGATTTTTTAAAAGTATTTAATAAATATAATATTATCATGTACTGTATACTTTTTATTACTTTTTTACTGTATACTTTTTAGATGTTGAAAATTATTATCAAAATTTAACTTACATTTTGAAATCTGCATAAATGTAGTTTTTTATTTATTAGTTTTTTTAATTTATTGTTATTGTAATGATTTATACAATTTAATCTTTGAAATTACTTAAAATAATTATGTATTATGAATAATGATACTGTAATTGCTTCAGTTAGTTGAAAAAATACCAATGCAAACAAAATTAAATTAAAGGGTTATTTACTACTGTTATGAACTGCATTATAAGCAAATTATAATAATATAAAAATGTAATGAGTAATGTTGGTAGTACCAGTCCGTGATCCGAGAGCTGAGGCCAAGATGTTTTCATGAAAAAACATCATTTTTACTTAATCACAGACCCTAAAATTAAACTCAAAATTAAGCCCACCATTAATTATGATATAAATAAAATAAAATATAACAAACATATTTTTGATTGACAATAAATATTATGTTATGTAATACTGAATCGAATAAACAACAAACTCGCACCACAGTAAATATACCTTTTTTAAAACAAAACAATATAAATATAATATTTAAAAATTTAAATCAAAAACAATTTAATTGAAGTAGAAATTAAAAAATAATATGATAAAAAACACTCATAGTATGAATTTGGTTGCATATTAACAATTAAGTGAAAATAATAATAACAACTGAATAATAATATAACGTCATATTAATATTATTCTATTATACTATTCTTAAACATTAAGAATAGTTTACAATAACAGCTACAAATTACAAAGTTTTGTAATAATAGCTTATATTAAAATGGTTTTGTTGTCTCTATGTATGTACACGACAAGTATGTAGTCGAAATACTGAAATAATTCTTCAAAATTCTTTTATCAATTTCAGTACACTTTCTGGTTGTTAAGTCAAACTAATTGGTACCTACTTTGAACGTTAAAAAATTATCAATAGTTTTCAAAAGCAACAGAAAAAACAAAAATCCAGTAGGTACTAATTACTGTAAAGTGTAGATACTTTAAATTGTTATCAAATGTTTATATGATCAATTTACATAGGAACATCATAACATTTTCAAAATATTTTGATTTTTTTTTAGCTATTTAGAGGCTTAAGAAATTATTTATTTTTATTTTTTGTTTTTCAATTATTGTAGATAAATAATTTTTTGCTCAGTCAAAAACTTGAAAATTGAATACAAGGTCCCTTAGTCCCTTACACATTGTTATTAGTGTAATTAAATAATAAAGTAAAGTGAAAATTCACAATAATTTATTATGGGTTTCTGAAGCTAGAATTTTATCAAAATCGTGAACATTTGCAAATTATTTTTCAGTTAGAAATTCGAACTTTTTTTTCGTAGCTAACATTTGAAAATTGAATACAAGATTCCTCATAAGTTTTTCTATCTTTAACACAAATAGGTTTACAGAAAAATCAAATTCAATATTAATTTGAAGTTTACATTTTTACGACTTGGGGTATTCACCTTTTAAATTATACAACGATATTTTCTTTTCGATTGATTTTCTTATTTTATTGTACCTAATTCAAAAAGGAATAACTGTAGATACTTCACATTTTCCTCTTCAATGTTTATTTTATCATTTTTTTCACATGATATAATTTAAAAAATATATTGACTATTTTTACATTTTTTATAGACTTTTTAATATCTTTTTTAGTTGTTATTCTATAAATGTCCATATATGAATTTTTTTGTTAGGTCAAAGTCAGGAAAATTTTTATAAAGTTCTATCTACATTTTGTTCCAGCACGATTTTGATTTTATAATTATTTAAACTTTAAAGTTCACATTTTGACAAAATTCGTCAAAATCTCGAAAAAATTTGCAAATTATTTAGTAGTTATAAACCTATAAAATAGTATAAAATATTCAACTTTTAATGCTAAGGATTGACAATTTAAAGCAAGGATTCTCATTAAATATAGTTTATCCTGTAATCGAAAAATCTAAAAAAATATATAAGCACAATTTGTTTCATAGATATTTATACAATAAGACCTATTTTTTATCAATTTTTTCTTTTGTGTCCAAATAGTTGGATAAAAATGGTTTCAATTTTAAACTTAATTATCTTTTTTAGACATCCTAGTAGGAAAGCGAATCTAGTTTGAACTTTTCTAATTGGGAAAAAAAGTCCTGGTGCCTAAGCCGTAGGGACGAAGGGCGCTCATATCAATCAAACTAGACAAACTATATAAAAATCTATTGTTTTCGCTCCTTGGTTTTAAACCGGTAGGATAAACAAAGACCAAAGTTATTATTAACTTAATTTATTTTCATTTTTTTTAGTAGATATGAAATGAAGTACGTTTTTTAAGGTTCTAAATTTTAATGATACTGATATTGAAATGTTACACACGGATACGAAAAATATAAGTACAGTCAAATTCGCTTATAACGATCTTCTAGGGATCTAGGGAATCTGATCGTTATAACCGAACTTTGTTATATCCAGATCATAAAAAGTAACATGATTTTTTTTTGAAAAATTAATTTATTGAACAAATTTTTTACTGTTTAATTTAATTTAAGATTACATATTTTAACATTCAAAGTTTTAATAAAAATACATAATATATATTATGGTACATGTTTACGATTTGTTTGAAAAATAATCTATTATAGTGGGTTGTTTATTATTTGAATACGATTTTTAACAAAATTAGAAATATTGTTTATTGCCATTAGCCATTGATACTTCTGGCGTATTTATATCGTTGTTTACCGAAACAAAAGTACGCATCTGATCAATATAAAAATACATTTCCGAAACAGACGGTTCTTTGTATGGTACTTTGACAGTCTTTCATTTTACATTTTTAACTTGTACGGAAAGTGTCTAAACGGATAGCAATCAAAACGGCGACTAAGAAACGTATGCTTTATAGTGTGTACAATACGGGTCGGACAAGACACATTATCTGTTACAGATAAGATTAAGAATTGTCACTTTGAACGAAATCAAATTTACTACACAATGTTCATATTATTAATCGCTATAAGTGATAATAAAAATCAATTTTCGTTTTAAAATAACATCGCTATATCCGGATTATCGTTTTAACCGATATCGTTCAATACGAATAAAAGTACTACACATAACATATAAAACCAACCAAATACATTGCTTGGAATCGTTTTACCCGGAATATCGTTATATACGGCATCGTTATAAGCGAATTTGACTGTACTTAGTTTAAAAGTAAAATTGTTTTTTTATTTTACCAATAATGTCAAAGTTATGTACCAAAAATATTTCACCTTTAAACGAAACGCACACTAAATATATGTATTCTTAAATATTTACTCGTAGTACCTTTATAATGTAAAATATAATATGGATTGTTTATAATCAAATACGATTAATCTTGGTTAAATAGGTATCTTTTGAACTAGTGGTACAATTAATTTATCCTCATAAAACACCGAATTCTTTCTTATACAACACGTAATTTGGTGTACATAATATATTCGTATATTAAACACATAATATTCGTATTCGTGTTTACTGGGAATGTGATATTATAATATTAAAAACCTAATTAATTAGTAATAACTTCGTTATTTACAAAATTATGTATTTACCCACCTACCTACCAGCATAAGTATAACTAAATAGATAAGTACAATTGTGGAATTGTCGAGGTTGGTGATTATTAGTGATGGATGATGATGCGTCTTTTGCTTGTAGGTCGACTTCTTCGGATATTAAAGTAGGTACCCAAATAGTGGTTATATTTTTATTTGCCTGTTTAAGTTTTTGTATTTTTTTGATGACTTTTGTTTGAGAGAGTCGGTGAATATAATATAATATTATGTTATATACTGGGGTAATTATATTGTCAAGCTCCCAAGTTCTGTATTTTTTTTTCTAATGGATTATGCTGTTAATTGTTATAATATAAACAATTTGTGTTGGTATTAATTAAACAATGCAAAAAAATTAATGGCCTTGGTTATTTTTAAAATTCGAAAAATTATTATTATTATGAAATGATTTGAAAAATTGTTATTGACTACTTTATTACATTCATTGCCTCGTTGTCTGTTACTTTTTATTTAATTTTTTTAAATTTCTCCAATTTGTATTAATAACATTCAATTTTCAAACGGAAAATGGTAGAGTAATGTCTAATAACTAATAAGTAATGTTTACGTATAATACCGTATAATTCAAAAATATATTTTCAAAGTAATTACAGTATTTGCGAATTGTATACACGTATAATACGACATAATACAAAAAAATACCGTATTTACCAGCACTAGATATTATACTTTACGGAGTCCACGTACCAGGGTCGCACCGGTAGTCGCTACTCTTCCTTCAGTTCCGGCGGCGTGGAGTCAGCGTCGGTGCCGGTGGTTTATTATTTTATTACTCTGTGGGTTGCAACGGCGGCTAGCTAACGTAGTTGCTCGTTCAATAGCCATCACGAACACAGCGTCACAGCATACGCTCCTGGTACATGTTTCTGGTTAGACGCCACCAACGTTCCTACAACGTCCCTACAACGTTCCCACAACGTCTCCGCAATGTTACAACGTCACATTTGCCAAGTGAAAAATAAGCCGTCACGCGACGTGTTCATCAACCTTTACTATCCAAATAATTACGAAAATAATAACTATATTAATTATTACATAATATATATGCAAATTGTTTTGTCACATTTTGTTTATGAGCGTTCGAAGTTTATATTTTTATATTTTACAATATTGGATTTCTTCCGGCGATTTCTGATTCAATGATAGTATTATTCTTACTAGTTATTTTGTTACAATTCAAAACAAATAACTGTCT